GTCTGAAAATTCACACAGAAAGTATCTGCAACAAAGGATAATTCATGTGTCGAACAAGCACCATGTGCAGCTATACACCCAAAACAAGCAACTGACTGGATATGAAGGTTTCAAATCTTGATTCGTTGTTAGCAGGAAGCTCACTTGATCTAGACTTATTTCCTCATTGCAGAGAAACACCCATAGGCAAAGTCTGCAACTCTTTTGCAGAATGCACAGTGCATGTTGCTTAATGCTAATGGAACAGCTTCTTTAAGCGGACACCTTTTTGTTTAGGGCTGAGTTACTTTTCTGGAGAAGGGAATTAATTGGATCCTTTTGTAGACACCAAAGACACAATTTTCTCGTTAATTTGCATGCTTTTTTTTTCCACAGGATTATATGATGTTTGATCCGTTTGTCAACGGCGTTGCGGAGTTGCACGATAGGCATAGAGACATGAGGCTCGACGTTGATAACATGTCTTATGAGGTAAATATGGGTTGGGTTTACTGTCACTAAATTTCGCAATATATTTCTCACTGATTATCTCATTTATTAGGAATTATTGGCGTTGGAAGAACGTATAGGGAATGTGAACACCGGATTGAGTGAAGAAACCATTTTGGGCCATATGAAACAGCGGAAGCATGAGCCTATATATGGAGGGACATCATCAAACTTGGAGCCTTGCTGTATATGTCGGGTAATAATCTTTTCTGATCATTTTACACGATAATTAGTTTCTATTACAAGAGAACAATTGTTGCAGAAAACAATTTTGAGAATTGTTGCGTAAACATTGTTGTCTTTCTTGTATGATCATCAGGAGGAATACATAACTGGAGATGAGATGGGCATATTGGATTGTGGGCATGAATTCCATTGTGGTTGCATAAAGCAGTGGTTAATGCTGAAGAATCTGTGTCCTATATGTAAGATGGAAGCTTTAGATGCTTGAAATCCAACCAACCAAAGCTATTTTTCCTCTTCTGATTCCCTCCTCTCTACCCCAACAAAGAATTCCCTGGAAAAGGAGGGGGGCAGGGAGGGTTTACATCTTAATTCTACATACTTTAGCACCTGAAACTGTTCATGTTGCTCATGAGTGATTACATGGGTTCAGGAACTGAAGAATGTGTTAGTGAGAAGACCTTTATGAGTCTTATTATTTAAAACGCATAGGAAATCCTTTTTCTTTAAAAGTCTTTTTGATACAAATCTTCTTGAGACATTTGGTTTTGAATAATACTACATTATACCTTTAAGCGAACAATTTTTGTGTTTTGTATGGTATTTTTGCCCATTCCTTTGTTTTGTTGCATGGATGCTAAAAGTGAGAGATCATTAGGAGTTTCAAGAAATTAACATCAACAATTGAGCTGTTAATGTTCTATATATCATGATTCTGATGTTACTTCTTCCTTTCCAACATAAATTATGCGTGGTGGGGGTCGTGAGGTCCATTAATCTTTAGGAAACTCCACAGTAACTGGAGCATATAGTGTTTAGCCTAAGGTTGGCTTACAGATTATGTGTTTTTAAGTTCGTATTTTTAGTTGGCATTTTTATCAACGTCAGATAGTCAAAACTAGCAAGAGAAAGATTACAGGAGTCTGCTCCAGATTAAAGGTTTGAACTGGAGTTCGCAACTTTTATTGTATGTATTACACCTTTCGTGCTAAACTTACTAGTATTTGGTTTTAAAAGGTTATAATTCTACAAAATTAACAACAAATGAGCTTCTTGAGTTAGTCCTTTCGTTCCACTTAGGTATAAATTACTCTAGCTGAGACTTCTTTAAAAACACCTAAATGTCCAAACTTAGTTAACTCTGCCTTTCAAAAGAGTCCCCTAGTTATATAAAACGCAACTATTTCATTTTGGTGAGCTTTTTTCTGATGAGTATTTATCATTCGCGAGTTGAGGCTAAAAAGTAGAAAGTGACTATAAATACATATTTTGCTATAAAATTTAAAATGTAGCTATAGAAAATAATATGTTAAAAGGATATCTATTTATAATAAATAAGGTGTAAAGCTTTGCTATAGGATAATACCCTCCTAATCTGTTTGGCACAGTGTTACTTAAAATTTTGACACATAAGATATATATAGATAAAATACCAACAGTGCTCTTGTGCCAAATAATTTGGTTTTTTATTAGTGGGAGTTAACAAATAATGGATATATAAAAGTAAAGTAGTCTCTAAACATAGAAAACGTCAAATTTTTCTTAAACGGAATAAAACATTATTGCCAAATAAATTAGGGTGGTAATGTTATGTCCGAAAAAATCAGGTGTCATGCGAAAGATAGCAAAGCAAACCTTGAACGACGATAAATCATACAATAAAGGAGAAATCTACCAAAAGAGACACAAACATTTAACGTAGTTCCGTTAACTAACCTAAATCCACGGCGGAGATGAGCAATCCACTATAATAAAGGAGAGTACCAAATATCAAGAGAACAACCTCACGAAGAGGCAAACACAAGTGATACACTAACACTTGTCCCGTAAAGTTCTCTTCCTAAACACGACTCTCAAACCCCATGTGGCTACATTGTGGATGCTACTGAATGAGAAGGGCGGATCCTCAATTTATAGAACTCCAAACTTTTTCCTACGAGAAAAGGGACTAGCCAAATATGGAAGAATTATATTTCTCTTCTAGGAAAAGAAAATCTAATTATGATAAATATGTTGTCCTTTCCTTCACGAGATAGAAAAACCAATTATGATAAAAAATCTGGACAAACACCTGAAAATACTGGGTGTATAAGTATTACCTTAAAAATATCGAATTCTCGTATACATAACTCACATACGAGTATAAAAAGGAGAGGGAAAAGTGTGAAAATACTGGGTGTATAAGTATTTTCGAGTGGCAATCTGGCAAAGAGGAAAGAGCCAAAAACCGCTAAGAGACATAAAGTCATCATTACAATTTATAGAAAACGCAAGCATACCGAGTTTTTTTTCGCCCATATCCGCTTTGAAATTCTACTACTTCCTCCGTCTCAAATTATTTGTCATGGTTTTAAAAATAGTTATCTCAAATTATTTATCATTTTATAAGTTTAAGATAAAATTAATTTTTTTTATTTTACCTTTAATAGTAATTATTTTTGAAGATAAAAATAATATATAAATAGAATAATTATTCAATGAACAGAAATTATATTTTAAAATATAAATAAGAATAAAAATATCAAAAAATAATTTAATTAGTATTTTCTTAAGAGACGTTTAAAAAAAAATACGACAGATAATTTGAGACAAAACGAGTAATAGAGAGTCGAGGTGGTGTGGTGTGGCCATAAAATACACAAAAATCAACAATTGAAAACGCCTCACATTCTGCTAACCCCGATCTCTGCAACCCTCTTTACGTCACGCCACAGACAACTATTCCTCCTATCTTCCCCTCCTCACATACTAAATTTAGTACTATACGATTTTGCGTATAAATTTAATTTACGTATTATAACAGTGAGATTGTAAATGTATTACAATAGATAGATGAAATGAATTTGAATCTATTAAAATAGTGAAAGTTGTGTTAAATAATGTCTGGTTATCAGACAATATCAAACACTTGAAAGCGTAAATGGTTCGTACATAAATTAAAAGAAAAATAGTGTTTGGTGCGCCAATTGGAGCTTCGACTAATTCAAATTTAACAATATAACGTATCATAAAGACAGATCCAAAATTTAAAGTTTATTGATTCCTACAACAACCTTAAGTTAACATATACTACTAATTGATGTACATTAATCAAATGCTTATAATTAGTTAATGAATTTTTTTAAAATATACAAAGGGCAAAAATTATTTGGGTTCCCACGTAGCATAGCGGATCAATTGATTTTTTGGCTCTTTACAAATTTATTTTTAGTTTTATGACCCTACTTTTTTTACACATGTGAGATTTACTTTTACACGTAAGAGATCAGTCTTTTACACGTAAGAGATCTAAAAATGACATTTTCTTAAATTCAAAATTGTAAAAAGACATGATGTACAAATAGCACCGTAGCTTACGTGGTAGATTTGATCCGCCCATATTAAAGACAAATGTAGCATTTGAATCATTGCCTTAAGACGTAACGCTCGTGGTTTGTGTTGATAATAATGAAACAGTTAGTATTAGTCACAAGATAAGAACAGATTAAACTCAGACAAACCTTTACACATTATGCTCCTCCCTGTCAAAAAACTACTTTCACATTATGCTCCTCTCTGTCAAAAAAAAAAAAAAAACAGCAAGAGAAGAGCTGTCAATTATTCTGCGCTAATTAACAATGGTTAAGTCATTAGAGGCATGTAACATCCTCGCTAGAAGATTAAATATAATGATTATTTTTGTTTAAAGAAAATGAATATTTCATGATAAAAGGTTAAATTCACGGGAAAACACACACAGTTAGGTATTGTTATTAGATAAATATGCACACTTTTGATTTTGAGTCAATATAATAAGGGATATTATCACTTTTAGCCGGCACCAGAAACTATTTACATTCGAGAGCTGAAAAAGTGGTATAAAATTTGTATAATTTTTGTATATAACATACAAAATGTATATATATACAAAAAAATATACACTTTTTTGGTCGCTATTTTGAGAGCGACTATACAATGTCATTTTTTCAATAATAAAGCCTCAATCCCAAACAAGTTCAGGACGGCTATATGTATCCTCACTCACCACTTTTCTCCCTTTAAACTCAAATCAAATTATAAATGTTATTTCAAAAAATAAAACTTGTGTTTAGATAGATGATCAAGATAAGAAAATCGTGATTCGCTTGTAAATCTAGGCAATTAGACTAATTAATCAGTAGATTGAAATGTGAGTGAGATCATCAGGGGAATTGGGGCCCCTATATATTGAGTGAGAAACAAAATTTGTGTACAAAAGTGCTTTAGCTACCGTTTTTTGTTTTGAAGCCAGTAACGGCATTTTGGCTTATGATTGTATTTTGGTTTGTTCTCTTTCCCAGCGAATCATCCCTTGTATATCTCTACCATCTTTTCTCACCCTTCTCTACTTCTCTTCCTATTCAATATTCATCCTCCTCAATCCCCCCAAAACCCCTCATCTTCCTATAGAATATATATATACGTAATTTAGTATATACTATCAGATCATCTAAAAAATGAATGAAGGGAGTGACCGTAATTGTTTGATATGGGAAAATCAAGGGTGGTCATTTTTGAAATCGAATAACTTAGATGGGAGTGAAGAGAAGTTTGTGGGTGACAAGTTGTCAGATCCAAATAGGTCAAATACTAGTCATGATCAGCCGCGGACAGTTGCTAAGGCGGAGACCAAAGCGGCTGCCCGCGGCAGAAAAAGAACGGCGAGTGGCCGCAAAGAAAGTGATGAAGCAAAGTGTGGTGGTGATGGAGGTGGTGAAGAAGAATCAGATCATGAGATACACATATGGACGGAGAGAGAAAGGAGAAAGAAGATGAGGAATATGTTCTCTAATCTTCATGCTTTACTTCCTCAACTTCCTCCTAAGGTAAAAATTTTGTTTATTCAAATGACAAATGGTTTTTTTGTCCAAAATTCATCGACTAAGTAAAGGAAACTGAATGGAATTCATAAATATTTCAAACTTATTTTCTTATAATTTTTTTTTGGCCACACCGGCCCCTATTGATTCTTATTCCCCTCCTCAACAATTTTGAGAAATGAATAAATAAAATAGGGTTTTTTAAAAAAAAAAATTGTAACAAAAAAACATAACTTTTTTTCCACACACAAAAAGAAAAAGAAAATGCTTCTTTGTTTGGTTTGCTTACTGTTCCAACCTTTCTAGATTGAGTAATTCTAAGGAGAATATTTGAAGGAAGCTTACTTAAGGGAGACATGATTCTATGCGAAAATGTACTTGATTTCCTTTTTATTGTATATATTATAAAGTACAAATACGGTTCATTAATGTCTCAAACAGTTCGGACAAAGTGATATATAAATTGCCCTTATTATATGTATCTATATGTTGATTACAAATGGAATAACCAAATTAAATGCACTTGGTTTTCCCAAAAAATAGAAGAAAAAAACAATAGAGAGCTTCCGGGATTTTCGCATGTCTTATATAAGATGCTTCATACCAATTTTTTTATTTTAGTAAACAATATTCATATAAAGAAGATTTAAATTATTTATGTATCTTAATCTGCCTTATTTTTCAGGTTACTTATAAGTAGCACCATAGAGTTTAACTTAAAACTATTAGACAGTGCAAAAAATTACACTACCATGTCAATTAAAAACCTTTTACATGTTACTCACAAAAACATGGTTAATGACCCCTATGAAACAAAAATCTTTTACTATGTTAGTGTATAAAAGTTAAACTCGCGTTTATATTTGCAGGCGGACAAGTCCACCATTGTTGATGAAGCAGTGAACTACATTAAAACACTACAGAATACTCTTCATAAGCTTCAAAACCAGAAGCTAGAAAAGCTTCATTGCTTAACAGCTACAATGAATAGTAATGATCTTTCGATAATTACTTCACAGAAATTACTAGAGAGTAATAACAGGGACATATTTTTGGCTGATCAAGGATCTACTAGTAATTCAACTGCTATTACACCAACCAATAATAATAATACAACTCCATTTTTGAATATTCCAACAGTATTTCAAACATGGACTTCTCCAAATGTGATACTAAATGTTTGTGGAGAAGAAGCTCATATTAGTATTTGTTGTCTCAAGAAACCTGGAATTTTAAGTGGTATTTGTTTTGTTTTGGAGAAATATAAGATAGAGATGATATCTGCTCAAGTTTCATCAGATCATTATAGATGCTTGTACATGATTCAAGCCCATGTAAGTACATTCTCCTTCCTCTATATATCTCCTTTCTTTTTTTTTCTTTTTTTTTTAACTCAAGAAAATAACAAGCAAATAGTATAAGTTAGATTTATGCTTCAAAAGAATGTTGGTGTTTACTAATTAATCCGCTTAATTATTGGTATTGATTTGTGATATGGTTAGGTTGGTCGTTCTGAAGATTGTGTGAATTAGGTTTTCTAGTTATTAGAAGAAGAAAATACAAGTTTGGAACATCCTAAATCTAAATAAGGAGCAGCTATTTGAGTCATTATATATCATAGCATACTAATCATCATTAATGTCAGGGAAATGTGACACACACAAATAAAGACACTAGTTTTTATTACATAGTTCGTCGAGTCCAAATTTATTTATTTTGGCAAATTAAATTTGTCTCAAAATCTTTAAAGCTTTAGAAAAACAAGAAGTATTTAACAGTTTTCTTTTTTCAAATTGATCACCTTTACTACTGCTCTAATTGTGTGAAGTGAGATATTTACTTCAAATAGAAATAAATGATACTATTTTTTTCCTTGTAAAAGCGTCCCTCACCTAACCTGGCCCGGGGTAGGGTTTGTTTGAAAATTTTCTTTTTACGACAAGATTTTTGATTTTTCAGAAATTATGTTAATGAAACATGTTGAATTGAATATTCATAGGCAACAGGTGGAAGTACATTGAATCAATTCTCGGAAGCATTGCCATTATTGACAGTGGAAGAAATATACAAACAAGCAGCAGGAGAGATAATGTTGTGGGCAACTTCCAAATGATAACAGCTATCAAAAATGTTACGAGAGTTGAAGAATTTTGCGAGTTTTTTAAATGACAACAGTGGAATTTGGTTAATTTTCGTCCAAAGATATTATAAGGAAATTCTTGGTTTCACTTTTCAGCAGTGGCAGCTATAAGAAGAATATAGCGAGGTTTTATTTTATGTAGATGCTCCGCTTTTATTTATTTTAATTGTCTAATTCTTCTCTTATTCTCCCTTTAGAAATTAAAAAGAAAAAATTTGCAAGCTTAGAAAGGATAATGGGATGCGAAAATGCGAAAAAAGATACTACTATTGACTATTGCTGAAATTCCACCACTAGTATTTCTCTATCCTAATTTATTGTATTGATATATTTAAGTTTAGTAACAACCAATTAGTGCAAGAAGGGGGTAAAAGATCTGTGATTGATCTAGAAATATAGTCTTGTGCTCGGTTTACTAGCTTCAGAAGGTATGTAGGACTCGTGCAAGAAATAGCTTGTTATAGGACGTTTAAAAAATTATGTTATTTTTAATATCAATGATGAAGAAAACGTGAGAAAAATGTCGAATACATATATGGTATGTCCTCGCTTCAATCAAGAGGTGAACTTATCTCTGGGCATTTTTAAATTGGTTGAGGGATATTTCAGATTGTTCTTCACCTACAATAAATAGGATATCTGTTTACCTCGAAAATACGAGTAACAATTAAATTTGATTTGTGGTTTTAAAGATATGTGATTTAATTCAATACTAATTAATAATCAAGAAATCTGAAATATAGATGAAAGAAATATGTAAGAACAAACCAGTAGATAAATCAGTCTGGACCTCGAGCCCAAGTGACCTCGAGATTGGTCAAGAACAGTAAAGCAAGAATTATAAAGCTAAAGACAATTCTGATGAACAATGAGCAAAAAGTAGAGAGTAAATTCTTTGCCAATGATTAGATGATCTTTATAAATGATTGGGGTCCCCTTTATATAATAGGGAAACCCTAAATAAGGCACATTTCCATTTACAGTAAGGCATCTAATTGGGACAGCTGTCTAACCGCCTAGTACGGATTCGTACTAGGTCGTACGAATAAATTCCGGAATTTACGCCATGATCTTGGGGGCGTGGCGGGAATCTTGTCCTTTTGTAACAAACTCATAACGACATTATCTCGAGGCCGGTCACGTTCGGCCTCGATGTTCATCGGACACTTAGATCTTCGAAGTCTCCAATCGGGCTCGCTCCTGGTCTATTTCGATCTCGCTCTTGAAGTGACCCTCGAGCCCACGAAATCGGGTAGCCCCAATTTCTACCGTATACAGATAGTCCCCGCGTTTCTTAGAGTATAACGACAACAAACGAATTGAGTCCTTGATCTTTATCCCAATTTTCCACGACATCATCATCGTGACATAAGCGACCGAGGAAACGAAAGCTTGGAAGCTGGCCTTTCCCGAGGAAAACTCCGAGAACTTTTAGCGAGTCCGGCGGCGGGGAAGATTCTGAGGGCGAAGACACTTCTGCCGATAAGGACCGTGCTGCTTAGGTTTCGTGCTCTTAGTAATTTTTTGCTTTTGAGGTTGATCGGCCCTTGCGAGGAATTCTTGATCGTGACCTATAGCTCTTGTAAAAAGGTTTATACAAAGCCTTTTTCCTTCCATGGCTTCTGAATCTATTACCCTTTTGTGCGGGTCAAAGCGCCTCATCATAAAATTCCTTCTGAATGTCCAAAGTTTGATATGGTAATGACCGACAATAAGTTCTGCCCTCGAATGTTTCTGATCAATGGTTCCCGAATGACCATTCGAACTTGAGTTTGAGTAGCTTTTAGGCTCAACAGTCGATGAGGTAAGGTAGCCCTTGGGCTTGATAGTTGAGTGAGTGCACGCTCGAACTTGAAATGAAAATAGCCCTTAGGCCTTATGGCCAAGTGAGGACATGCTCGAACTTGAGATGAGGTGGCCATTGAGCTCGAAAGATAGCCCCCGAGTGAGAATTTTCTCGAACTCGGATAGCCCTTGGGCTTAGTAATCAAGTGAGTACTTGCTCGAACTAGAGATGAAAATAGCCCTTAGGTTTTATAGTCGAGTGAGGATTTGCTCGAACTTGAAGTAAAGTTAGCCCATAGGCTTTATGGATAGTCCCCGAGTGAGGGTTTGCTCGAACTCGGGTTCAGATAGCCTTTGGGATTTTATGATCGAGCGAGGGCTTGCTCGAACTCGAAATAGAGTTAGCCCTTAGGCTTCATAGGTAGTCCCGAGTGAGAATTTTCACGAACTCGGGTAGCCCTTGGGCTTAGTAGTCGAGTGAGTACTTGCTCGAACTCGAAATGAAAATAGGCCTTAGGCTTTTTTATATTGCCCTTAGGCTCTTTTAGATCGGCCCTTAGACTCTTTAAGTTGGGCCAATTCAGCCTCTAAGACGGCTATAATTTTTTTCTACTTTTCGGCTGAAAGACTTAGTGAAAATTTCTTTATGCCTTAGCATGTGTTTTTTTGTACCCGTTGGGTTTTTCGAGGGTTCAATCGATCAGAACCCGTTCGGGTTTAAATACTTCTTAAGGCTTTTTCGAAGGCTGATACTTATCGAAGCCTTTAAATTATTCGAAGGCTGATTTTATCGAAGCGCTTCTGCTTTTGCCGAGGGTAGCCGAGTTTAACCGATTTTTTGAAGTATTTGAAGGCCTTTAATTTATGGCGGAAGTCGGACGTCTCCGAACCGCATTATTTCGACCGTAGCCTATATGACCATAGTCTTTAATATGGATGTAGCCTTTAATATGGTCGTAGCCTTTAATATGGCCGTAGCCTTCGGGATGTCTCTTGGACTTGTTTCCCGATAACTATTCGAACTTGTCTGAAAGGTTAGTCCCCGAGTATGATGGCCTTGGCCTTTTCCTCGAGCGATGCCTCTTTGAGGTCTTATAAGTTCGAGTTCAGATACTCGAATGCGTTGACTGTCGATGATAGTCCCCGAGTATTCGAGGTGTATTTGCGTTTTGTCCCTTGAGCCATTTCTCGTGGAAGCACAAGCATGATGTTCGTATAGTAGCAAGTTTCTTTGATGCACAAAGTGTTCTGATATAGAAAGAATACTTCTTTGGATAATTGATACATGCGTACATGTTTTGCCATCGGGGATCGACTATTCTATATGAACACGGTTAATCGGACCGTTTGGCCCATTACAAAGTTTTCCCATTGAGATCCGATGTCCTGAAGTGATTTCCTTGCAACAAAGTAAACATTTGAGGTCAATGCCCTTAAGTACTTGAGGTTTATTGTAGGGAATCTCGGATACCGTTGAATTGCTCTAAGTTAACATGACAACGGTTGCCTCATTAAAAATCTCGCCGGAAAAACCCATTTGGGACAAAAACCGGTCAGAGGGAAAAAGATTGCAACGCGTGCTACCCAGTGTTAGTCGAAAAAATAGAAAGGATTGGACCAGGGTCATACCTTTATTCGGATGTTGGATATTTAACGTGATCTTCCTCGGCATCAAGCCCCCGTGAATTTTGACCTCGATCATTTCTCCTCTCATTTCGTGCAAAGCTTTGCCCAGACCTGCTACTTCTACGGTCCGGGTTATACGGTTGATATCGATCTCTATTCGACCTCGACTCTCGATCGACATCTCCTTTGATCCTACCCATGGGCATGCTAGGATAAACGGACCCCGAAGGAGTCCCTAGTTAATCATCCTCGACTCTGATCTTCGACTGGTACCGATTATGTACATCGGCCCAAATGACAGCCGGGTACTCGAGTAACCTTTGCTTCAACTGATGTGAAGCTATAGAACTCCGAGTGTTGAGACCTTGAGTGAAAGCTTGAACAGCCCAGTCATCGGTGACCGGAGGCAAATCCATTCTCTCTGCTTGGAACCGAGATACGAATTCTCTAAGCATCTCATTATCTTTCTGCCTTACCTTGAAAGGTCCGACTTCCTCGTTGCAATTTTACTAGCTCCGGCGTGTGCTTTTACAAAAGAATATGCAAGCATAGCAAACGAATTAGTAGAATTAGGGGTTAAGTTGTGATACCATGTCAAGGCACCCTTGGACGGAGTCTCCCCAAACTTCTTTAGCAATACGGATTCAATTTCATCATCTTCCAAGTCGTTTCCTTTGATGGCACACTTATACGAGGTGACGTGTTCATTCAGATCGGTCGTCCCGTTATACTTGGGAATCTCGGGCATACAGAACTTCTTGGGGATTGGCTTCGAAGCCACACTAGGGGGGAAGGGTCTTTGCACGAACTTTTTTTGGAATGGAGACGTGGGAATCAACCTCCAAGAAATATTCGAGATGCTACAAGCTCAACAGATTGCCTTCGCTCAACTTCAAAGTCAGAATAAAACTCCAAGTGTGATCGAACCAAGGAACACTCGACGTACTGAGCCGGTGACGGAGAGGTCAAACGGTAATGGCTCAGGGACTGACCCCACAATTATGAGGATGCTCGAGGAACTCACCAAGATAATCGAGTCCGGGGAGAAGAAGATTGAGGATAATGACAAAAAAGTAGAGACTTATAACTCCCGTGTTGATCAAATACCGGGGGCGCCTCCGAAATTTGAAGGATTTACAAAAAATACCTCAAAAGAATAATTTAGGCACAATAAAATATACGACAATGGCTATTTGGAAGAACCACTGTAAACTAAAGAGATAAAGAGGTAGGAGGATTTTTCTATCACTCATAAACTCAGCAATATCACTATGTCATAGTTACCTCTCAACCTAAGAAATTATTACTTTTCTATTTATAATTAGAGGCGGATCCAGGATTTAAACTTTATGGGTTCAACTTCTAGATTTCTAATATTGAACCCATTATATATTTAAAGTTATGAGTTTCATCTAATATTTATTGTAAATTTAGTAGATTCTTACATATAAAATTATGCTTTGTATCAAAAGTATTGGGTTCGGATAAACTCGGAAAGCCAGATCTGCCCATGTTTATGGTAGTGCAAAACCAAATTTGACTAGATATTAAGAAATTGATTCTTATATGATTTTGACTACAAAATCTAAGTAGACGTGAATTAAAGAAACTAACAAATACTAAATTCTAAATTACTTTGGATTATTAATTAATCTTGATTTAATTCCAACAAAATTCACTTTCTAACTCTCCGATGATTATGATCAATTTACTTGAGATAATATTCTCAGTTTTTGAATCTAA